GGTAAACAATTGTTTTCGATGATTCATCTTCAGACCTGTACAATCATATGGGTGAAATAGCAATGGGCAAGTACAAGTGGATTAACGATCAGTTCAAATGAGATTGATCACGTGTCGACCAAAGGCATGAACCAGTAACAAACAGCAAACTAGGGCTGAGGTACAGTTGCACAATTGCAGTTGCTGTCCGAAGGATCCGTTTTTGGCTGGCCAAGGTAGCTTAACAGCTTCGATCAGCTTCTTTTGTGCATACAAAAGCGGTTGATACAATCGAATGCTGATCGCCTCGGCAGTAGCAAGGGTGTGGAGGCGCAGGCCTTTCGACTGGAGTGGAGGGACACTGTACAGTATTCGAAAGGCACTGACTGGGTCAACCTCATGCCCACTATCAATCAGATGAGCCATAACTGAGCTAGTTATAGCTCCAGTACCGCCTCGACGCAACCAGTGTGGTAGGTGCTCCTTAATGCGTTTCGATCTCCCGCAGCAGCTCCAGTCACCATGTGCCCTGTTTGCAGATGATTTGAAAATCTGGAGGATCATTGAGAACCAGGACGATTGTGGTCGACTCCAGCATGACAGATCGACTGTCAACATGGTCCGCTGAAACACAACTCCTTCTTAACGCAGGCAAGTCGGAGTTCATCAGTATCAGCAGATGTCCAGCTACTCGATCATACACCTTGGACGGCCAGTTGCTCCACCCTAAAATATCTGTCAGAGACTTAGGAGTGCTTTCGCAACATATGAGACCACTAGGAAATACAGAGACTGTACCGTGCGGGACTTCGTATGCTCTAGGCATTACAATGCAGTTTCTCCACATGGTCCGTCCCTCGCCTATTCACCTCGTTCATTAGACCAATCCTTGAATACGGCACCGCAGCTTACCATCGGATAACTTAGTGCAGAACGGATAATCTGGAGAAAATACAGCACATCGCAATTAGAATGCTTCCGTCTACGAAAGCTTCTGTAGGAAAGACGTTGTGAAAGGCACGGACTCTAAACACTATCCTACCGCCGAGTAAGAATTGACCTTATTGTGACCCATCGAATACTACACTTGAATCACTTCCCCATACTGCGGCCAATAGTTTACCTGCAGGGATCCTGTAACACCCAAAGTCACCGTTACAAACTCGGCGCCTTGCATGAATAGGGTATCACATCAGCTTTGTATGGAACGAAGAATCGTAAACCTATGTAGTACACTACTAGAAGGACTAATAGAGGCCGATTCTGTTAAGTGTTTGGAAACACTTATGAACGAGTATTTCGGAAACCTGTGCTTTTGTGAAACGATGCACATACAAAGCAAAGAAATACATCCTATACCCGGAAATAATGACACTAATACGAATTCTCAACCGAACAAGGATAAAGGTTTAACTAACCAAACACCACCGCTGACGATTCGTAATTAAATGTTTTTGAGTCTTCATAATTCGACAGTTGTGCAAAAACTTTTCTACTTGCTCTTTTTACATTCAGTCTCAGTGGTGCGACGTTGGGATGGGCGAATGCCACTGCCCTTTCTGAGCCATAGGTGCCGCTAGTGGTTTTTGTAAGCTAGGACAGCCTCTTTCAATAGTAAATAGACTACTCGTGAGTAGTAGTTAATATAAGTACGTTTGAGAGCCGCCTGGTAAAGCTATCGGGAGAACGTTAGACCCCTGGGGAAGTGGTCGCACATACACCGTAAACCATTGGAAATACGAAGTGGTGGGGTGAAGCGAAAGAAGAATGTGCGAAACAACTGTTGCATCCGACCCATAGTTCCTTCGCCTCCATGTGGAGCCGGCAGGGGAGTTGGTGAAGTCGTTCATCACCACCGCAACCATAAATAATTTCAGCAGTATTTCGGTGTCCACCGATGTCCTGCTGCACTGCAACCACGATTACATGGGTTTCAATGGTGCGAATGTGACAGGCTCAGGCTGTGAATAGTTGATAATCAAGTCGTCAAAACCGTGGACAAGGCACTCAGTCGCAGAGGCAATGCAGCATTCGTTGTACTTGCCAATCAAACTAACCATAGGTATGACTCAGGGGACAAGCATGCAATTTAAGCGGACACATCCAGTAATGAGCGATGGCGGCACTACCGATAGCAAGTTTCTATATTTACGCGAACTAAACCGAGTGTGCCCAGCTCTGAAAGATTAGGTCTTACAACAAAGCTCTATTCCGAAAACTGGGCCAAAGTTCAGGTAACGCGTACCACCCGCAGACGATTTAAGATGCAGCAGTTGACCGTGACAGCAACACTGATAATTGACAGTACGAAATAGCCCTCTGTTTTGAAGTTGTTCGCGCTATCCAACACTACACATGGGAAACCTTATTGAAAACGATTCATTACATGCAGACATTGACCAGATGGCGGTAGCCCCACTAAACTGCGACATTCCTTCAGTCGACGTGGATACTTTTAATAACGGCTACCCAGACAAATTTATCACGAAACATTTAAGGGAACGCAAACGATAGCCACCTACGTGGGTTGCTTATAAAAAGTGCTGTATTTATCACTTCAGTGCGATTCAGCTGCTGATATCCCATCCGGACGCTCGAAAGATGTTGTTGAGAAAAATTAGTTCGCCAACCCGCTTGTGATTTGTTTACCACAACAAGCCGTTATTCGCGAAACCCTTTAAAGATTAATTGTCCTTGTTGACTCGTTTAATGCTCGTTAATCAGTAAGTACTCCTTCTCCTATGATGCACGGCATATGGGTCGCACTACTAGGCGCTAATCTCAGAGAACCCGTGAACACATTCCGGTTTGGTTTTTACAGAGGCGAAATGAGATCCTCAAACGCCTCTATTAGGTTACACATCCTTGACTTTTAACACAAGGCTTTGAAAAAGACACACCCACTGTCAGAATTTTTCGCACAAAGCTTCCGTAATCAATTCATGTATGTTACCGTTTGAAACCGAATAGTGGCTGCAAACACGGTACACACCTCCGTCAGTGGTGCCTTTGTGGACGGACACTTAACCATTTACCTGACTACTACTGAAAAAAATGAAAATGTGTCAGCTTATATGCCGTAACGGCGCTTCGCTGCCGCGCGACCACCACCAGTCGCGCGCGGGCTGAGTATACCGCGAGGACGCCCACCCCTACGCGGATACCTGACTACTACTACTACTACTTCCTCGGCCTGGGCAACCGGGAAGATCTCTGCCGACATAACACAATCTACTAAACTTTCCAAACCATTTACTGACTACCCGTATTTCCCCCTTTTTGTCCTTGTTAACTATGTGTTGTGGCACTAGCAATTGCACATTGGTCAAGTGTTGAATAATAATAATAATAATATTCTTCGCAGTTACTTCATGGAGTTCGGCAAGACGCGAGCAAAATAACTAGAAAAGTGTAGGTTCAAGTACGAATGAATAGTCTGGTTGGAGAGGATTCACATTGAAACAAATTACGTTCAGCGAAACGATTGGTATAGGATAGCAAAGTTGACGCGAATCGCTCCCGTGAACTAACGTGACTGAGCACATAAATACTTAGAACAACTGGCCTTGGGAGACGGCTACATCCGGTCATTAGGGATGCGAACATCCGCGCCATTGGGACTACTGTTTTAATTCGTCTAATGATGTCTACCTGGTGTCGTGAGGTCCGTGCCAGCACAGATCAGACATGACTCCTAGGGATCTCGAAGCTGCGCGTTAAGTGGTGGTACGCGGTCCGGTCACAAGCACACTGGTCCATAACACAAACTGAATAGCGAGGCCACATTACTTACTGCATATCCTCCTCTATGGATGCGCACTTAGCCACTGGAACCGCATTGAGATAGTCGAACCGGGTATGTGAGCATATGGAGAGGAATCGAGTCGTAGGATGCACACAACATATGCTATTCATCACATGACAACGACTCGTGTATCGTCAGGACTTTGGGTGACTAAATGGTCTTATTTTGAATCCTAAGTTATGCATATCGATAACACCCAGCCACCAGGTTCGCTGAGCTCGATCGCACGTGCCTGGATTGCGATTACGCTTTAGCGTGCACACGCACGGCGTCTACTCCCGGGTGTCAGCAAAGTACCCGACGTATTACTCGTTAGTTGTTCTTGACGAACGGGGTGTGCCAAAAGAATATCGACTGCTAGTGTTCCCGATGCGTCATGAAAAAAGATTTCGAAACTTCTCGTCAGTCAAACTCCACACGTTCAGACTGTCGATGCATTAAAAAATGCCGACAAGGCTGATGAAAGCAAACAAGGTTCTGTTTGGTGTTCATTTTCTCTGTATACGTCAACCTGAAACGTCGTCAGATGAGAAGAGGCTTGAAATAAAAGCAAAAATTGTTAGCTAAGGTTGCTCTGGCGGCGCTCGAACTGCTCGCCGAGCTTGACACTTTTTTTGCAGACTTTTCGCAACGTCCGTGACAAAACTGCCGAGCTCAGCGACACAGTTCGATCCGCACTAAAAGTTAACCGTCAGCTGACAAATCGGAACTGATTGAACTCGAAGCCATTACCGCTATCCAGTGACGAACCCAGGTGATCTCTAATTGCTGACGGAATGGGAAAGTATGTATGGACCTCGTGACAGGGCTATGCCCAAAGAGTTATCCAATGGGTTGCGGCTTAGTCACCGCCTTGTGTGTTTATGAGGCGAACATCGTGCCTCCGATCAGCAAGCCTCACAGTCTTGCTCCTTCGGACTGACAATGGCTGTGGAGGAGAGCGTACGCTACCCATGATTTTCCTGCAGGCGCAAAAATCCCGTGAGTGCTCACAGTTACAAAGACGGGCAAGGTTCAAAGGTAATGAATCCAATGACATAAATGTGGCTCTAAACTATTTTATTTGGGGTCAAATCTGTGGCAGTTGCGTGACCGCCACGATAACATTAGGTCAAAGAGGCCAAAACACCAGATATCCAAACAACAAAGTGCAACGTTTGCCTCCGGCGATAGAAAGATGTGCAAACGGAAAGTTGTACGCATGATAAACACTTACAAACGGTCCAGAAAGCCAGGAAAGCAAGTGCTGCCACCAATGACCAATATATTTGCCCAGGCACCAGGACGTACAGCTGGAGGAAGGCGTTCACACATAAGATAGCCCATAGCTTCTGTTAAACCCATGTCTCGGAATCCCACGTCCCCAGGATGAAACAACAATTCGGGTACAGTAAATCGCTCGTTGCTCAAACGGAGAACGTAACCCTGTTGGGTAGATCGCTTGGGGATTGGAGGGGCGTATAAATCTGACAAAGAAGTGCATTCTTGATTGGGAATGCGTATGTAGCCTCTGGGAACCTCCGCATAATCTGGCAAAACGTATTCACGTAGGATAGGATTCTTCGAGGGATTCAGTCTGAAGCAAGGTAACTAAGAAAATCGATGAAGCCGTAAAGAGCAAGACATAATTGATAACGATAGTACATGTAACATAAACGACTAGAAAGACGAAAAGACGTGTCATAAAGTAGGAACAAATGATGATATGAGAGCGTGGCGGCAGAATGAAAACAGCAGTACAACATGCAATGAAGAGAGAGAGGTAGCTTGGAGAAAGCTCGAATTTATGGCCAAAATCGTCGCTCCAATGTAAGCTGAACCGCGCAGCAACTAGGCAAAAATAAGCTTTTAGAATACCGGTAGGGACGCTGTGGGAGATATTGATGCAACAGCCTAACTTTTCAATCACCATGGAGGTACAGACTGCGCGTGTACACAAATTCTTTCACATGAAAGAGATACTTTTTAACTGCCAACAGGATGTTTGACCATCTCGCTAATAAAGGAAAAAATGCGTGACATTGCGGTTACTCTGTAACCAAGCGCAGGAACCACGACCAATCGGACAGATATGATGTTCGGCGTTTCAGAAAGCCCAACTAAGGCAGCGCGAACAAGAACATGGAGACAGTGAAAGGCCGTGCGATTACCAGGGTGCCAACGTAGAAGCTCGTGGTGTCCGAGTCGGAAGTATTTAAGCAAATAGTAAGTTGGGTCCCGAAGCGTTACTGCTAGGAAGCCAACAAACTTTAGTTCAGTACACTGTGTTAACTATAAACCAAACATTAGTGGAATGGACTGTCAAATTCCATGCAGTCGCGATAGCGGAACAAAACTATAGTAAAACATGATACGAGCTAGATACTGAAATGGATAGTCGAGCCGAAGCACTGGCTATTGGGGTTGAAAGGACGAATGTTGACGCGCCACTAACTCCTCGACTGTGCTGTAGAAGCTGGAGTTTTCAATCACCACATGGCTCCCTATCTACCGGAAATCAATTCGAAGTTGTCTTTCAATGCCCTCAGAAATCTGCAATGTGACATTCTGATCACTCTGGAATAGCTGACAACCATGCAAAACTTCCCACAATGCATTTCAAGGTGAACAGACAACAAGATTGCGAACAACGCACCTTAAGCGGTATGGGTGGTGGGGCTATAACGAGTCGTAGCTAGGCCACGTGATGGATTTTTATTGTCATACGTATGAAGTCGAAGACCGGCTTTACCGCTGAAAGACATGATGAGCAAGCGAACTTTCACTTGAAGGGAACACAGCGAGAATACCCTACTGGAGGTTACGACGTTTCATCGCGATGAATAAGAATGAAATGTGTCCCCAGATATTCATCGATGGAATTCGGGGAAGTCGCCGCGTGTCCATGTTCTCAGATATGTCACTAATTAGTAAAGCGCGAAGAGCGATAACGGTGCGAAAACATCTGACACTAGAACTTTCGTTGAGGAAAGCCCACTGTAGCATAATTAGGATTGTTCTAGCATAATATTGCGCAGTCTGAAGACAAGAACCTAAGGATTGCAAAATGCCTGCAAAGGAGGGCGAAAGGATTTGATAACGATAACTCAGACGATGAGCAGGTTGTGTTATCAGATCGCAAAATTGTTTTCCACGACTGATCTCGCTTTTGTTCGGGTTCTTCCAAAAGTTTGGTGATTGGATGTACGACTGAACTGGTGATCACGAGGCTAGCAAACGAACACTCTGATCATTTGGTTAGCCTGAATGCGCACAACGCTTGGGAATTCATTGCCAACACGTGTCCAGAATACAATATGCGTGTATATCAATGGAACAGGATGCGAACATTTTAGGGTCCGGTAACTGACTCATAACCCAATGTGAATGATCGTGCGGTTCAGTTGTATTAGTAAACAACGATGGGGTTTGGAGTACCCATAGTAAAAGCGAAGTAACTGAGAGCTAGTTCAAGGTAAAGTGGGTGAACAATTGAGAGTGCATCACAATTCAGTTGAATGCGGAAAAACAGTGCGAAGACACTTGGATCAGAAGATACCGAGGAGGTCTCAGCCGGCCGAAAGGACTATACATCTGACTTGCAATCCTTAGGTCACCGGTTCGAATCCACGTAGGAGCGGGCATCCTCGCGATATACTCAGCCCACGCTCGATTGGTGGTTGTCATATGGCAGCGAAGCGTCGGTACGGTGTGTGCCGGTGTATTGCTGTTGATGACTCAAAATACAAATTTCATTTTTGAATCGGCATGTTCTACTGTTTAAGGGCAATGAAAGCACTTTATAAAAGTATCAGTATAACCCTGTCAAGAAGCGAAACAAAAGCAGCCAAGCCTAGTGCTCACTTCAAAACCGCCCAAAATATGGTCGGAGAATGCGTGATCAGGTCAAAAGTACAAACGAAGAAATACCTGACAAGGGTCCAGGTATGTCGTAAGTCCACATAAACACACCGGACAGAAGGAACCGGAGTGCTCACAACAGGTTCAGAAGTACAAATAGTCACTTGTATATAAACCGGTGAGCAGGACGGACGCAAGGTTAATACGATTGTTGTAAGGATCAAGAGGAAAACAGAAACTAACCTGGATAAATCCAAGTCGCTCCAAAAGTTAGTAGAGACGTAGCACACGTCTTCCTTACACTGGTTCATTATATGAACCTCGCTCCGTACATCTAGATGTCTACACATCGTGGAGAACAGTGAAGTTGAAGAGGATGTTCTCACCTATATGAAATGATATCCACCAGCCGATTGGTAAGGATTTTGCCCCCTACATTCAGTCTGAAAGATAAAGCGATTGAATGAGCTGATTACGAACCGTAAAACAAATTCGCCCATTATGCGACCATCGCCCATAGGAATCAGATGTGTGAACGAGTAACCCGAATCAATGACCAAACAATACCGTGACAGCCGCTGCACTGACTCCGACTGATATTTGTAGGCAGCCAGAAACGCAGCTACGAATAGGGAATTAAAGGGGGAGAGAAAACAGACACATACGGTTGGTCCGGATAATCCCATTGAATTGGTACTCCTCGAAAAACATTTCGTTCATAGCTTCTTTCGTCGCATAAAAGTTGAAATAAGGCTCAGTGACAAGCAGATTGCAATCTGAAAATGTGTACTGGTGCTTCTGTTGTTTCGAACTGGGATGGACGAGTAAACAGGTGCACGAACCTGCTTGAAAAGCCGTGACAAGACATTGTCCAGTATCCTAGTTTGAACGTCCCAATCGTTCAAGTAACCCTAGAAAAAGCGAAACCGGCTTACAAGACACGGTGAAACGGATGAGGGTGTTAGTGATATAAGGACAAAACGGAATAATAAGGAGAGGACACGTTTGGCTCACCGTTAAAACGTGCTCGCTAAGAGAATGGACCTTAACATGGTGCGATAGCTTGCGTACCTCCGCGACCCGATGAGGTACGCTTGTTGGCACTTTCAAGTACGTCCAAAGTAATTCATACCACAAACATTAAGGGTAAGAAGTCAGATTAACCCAGTCTCAGCATACTCTTCGGAGGCTGAGGAGAGGTGGATGGCCGTTTGCTTTCAAAATTCAGTTATTGCAAAATGGCCACCGGTTAAAACTCCACAGCTCGATTAGCGTAAAACAGAAGCACCACGCATCGTATCTGACGGTGGGAGGGCACCGCTAGGTAGTTTGCTAACGTCTGCTCAAGGCAGACTGTCCCTGGTCAAATTAGGATAAACCCGCCAACTCCCACCTGCGGATAGTCGTGGTTGCAGCTGCGTCACCATCATTACACACGTTAGCTAGAGGTTTAAAATACCTCAGCTACTGTGCCGTAATCCACTAAAAAATGCAACAATAAATACAACAGTTGCATGCCAGCTGAGCTAACAGCAACACATGCGGATCGTTCCAGAAAGCTACCATCCGGCTACTAGGCAACAAAAAAATTATTATGTAAAGTTATATTATGCTACAAAATGAGATCGTGGTTGAAGGGGGAGGCTAAAAGCGATGGGGAGGGACAAAGAAACTCACAGCAGGAACGCCACTCAGGTCGGCTCCTAGCCATATCAGCAAGTGTGTCCAACCAAACGTGTTCATCGTCTTTTGGACCCCAACCAGGGATCCGTGAAACTCCAACCGAGGTCAGCTCCGAAGTGAGGACCTTCATTCCTCTCGACCAAGTCATCGCTTGGTCACTTCTTTTCTCCCATCCACACCCCCGGTGAGCAAACAACGCACGTCGCAGAATTCGGTGGGCTAGCATGCGCAACACGTGGCCGAGCCATCGAAGCCTGGTGTGTAAAATGACGGTGCTGAGCGGTTCAGTTCCTTTTGCTGTGCCGTAAATAAGGCGTCGAACACGCTCGTTGCTTCCGCTGTGTTCCCATCAGATGTGAGCCAAACTGCGAAGGCACCGATGGTCGAACGTAATTAGCCTCTTCATGTCCGCTGATCTAAGGGGCCAGGTTTCGCAACCGTACAGTAGGGTCGAACGTACCGCTGCATTATACACTCTACCATTCAGGGCGAGAGTGATGTCGCGCCGCCGCCAGAAACACATCGAGCTTTTGATATTCGGTTCGTGATCTCATCTTCAATCCCACGGACGCTGATACAACTTCCCAGGTAGTTGAATTTCTGAACGACTTCTAGCTGGTCCCCACCAAGGGTCAGCCTACGAGGCAATCCCTACCAATCCTGGAGGAAAGCTTTGCACTTCGATGATGCAAAGCAAAGCCCGAAGTGGCTGATAGGCAGTGCTAATCTGTCCAGTGCAGCTTGGCACGTCTAGAAGCTGCCACAGATAAGGGCAATGTCGTCTGCATACTCCAAGTCAAGTAGTTGTTCTCCTGGGAGTAGCTCCACGCCTTCTAAGTCGTGTCCTGTAAATGCAGTCTCAATGACTTCGTCAACAGTGAAGTTGAAGAGGAAAGGTGACAACGGGCATCATTATTTCACACCGCTGGAGATATTGAAGGGCGGCAACAGCTTGCCGTAAGCCCTCACTCTGCCCGTGCTACACGCGTATAATACTCGGATAATATTTACATATTTCTCGGGCACACCTTTCCTGAGTAGACAGTTCCAAAGGGCACATCGATCAACCGAATCGAAGGCACCTTTGATGTCGAGGAACACGACTACGGTGGGCCGCCAATATGTGTGACGGTGCTCCAACAACGGACCCAAAGTGAAGATATGGTCAATGCAGCCACGACCTCGAGGAGACCCGGCTTGCTCCTTACGAATCTGGCTTTCACGAGTGCCAGTCAGTCTGTGAAGGATGACAGAGGCAAGCAATTTGGAGGCGATGGGGATCAGACTGGTTCCTCTACAGTTGCCGCATTCCAAACGCGAGCCTCCTTTGAAAATGGGAACAATAAAGGAGCGACTCCAGCCGGTTGGGACAGTTTTCTGCTCCCACAGTTTCACTAATAATTCATGTAAATCATAATTAAGAGCAGGTCCCCCGAATTTGAAGAGGGCTGGTTGAAGATCATCTGGTCCCGCGGCTTTTTTTAACTTCAACAGTCCGATCTCACGTTCCACTTCTGAGCGAGAGGGCGGATCCAAAGGGACAGCCCAGGAAGAAGGGCGATCATTGGCTGGTGAGGAATCGAACAATTCCGGTCTATTAAATTGTTTTTCGAAATGCTCAGCCCAACGCTCTAAAAGTTTTGACAAATTGGGGATAGGCTGTCCACTCTCGTTACAAATCCTTTCACTAACACCAGCTGCGTAACACACTACGGTCGTAAAACACGTGCATCGTGGGGAATCTCCATAGACTGTGTGCGTCAGTCCTCACTAGATCCCAATGGGTCTCTGCAATTACACTCCCGAGCTGGACTTGATCCTTGTGGGTCAGGCTAAAGCCACAGCCACTAGGTGGAGTCTCTCAAGCAAACCTCCATGTACCCAGCTGTTTTGTGGGTCAGAGGTCGGAGTTAAGGCATCTAGAATAAAATGCTGTCTCGGAGGCAAGTGGAAAGCATCATCTACACTAGAGACCTCGTCGTCAATATTACTTCCTGCGCCTCCTCTCCTTGAAGCCCGTTTCTTTTCCGTCTATAGAGAAACGGACTGCCGCTGAGTTCGCGACTGGTGTAATCGATCGATGTGGATGGTCCTTCAGATCAAGGGTCTCATTTCACATTCGTTCGTTCAATATCCGTGTTCTGTACCAGCTCAGCTAAAAAACAACGCTCACTCTTCAGTATATTTACATTGACGTGTACTATGTCTCCTAAGCGCGCATTGGAACTAAGGGCGTTGCGGCAAAACTTCTACTCCCTGATTCCGAATCTATCGATATTTACCACACTTTCAGAGTCTCTGGCGATACTGAGTCAATGACTTGAGATATTTACGGTGTTGGTATCACCTTCAGCAAACATGTTGAACACACTCGACTGGATACCAGTGAACCGCAAGTGTGCTAGTTGGTTTCGGGCTTTCATTGGATTTAATAAGCACCAACTGAAGAAAAGGCACGTTTTTACCAGTTTATGCATTCACGGACTACAGCTAGGAGAAAAAGCCAGGTGAATTCTAGTATCAATACAGCAAGAGTAACCTGTAGAAATGTGACAAAATAATCTAATGCATTATGCTGCATAGTCGCACTAGTTAACTACGCGTGTCGGAGTAAGTATGTGAACCAAGAGCAAGTGTACCGATGAGCTAAGCTCAGAGTTTAAAGATAAGAAGTATAAAAGAAAACGGATAGATTTACGCAAAGAGGGATAACGAGCAACTTATTTACGCATGGTTAACAGTTATGAATTACCAGTAAAACATGGGACAATATAGGTCAGGAGGGGCAAGGGCGAAACAGAAGGATGGACAGATACTAATATAACTCTACGTTGTTTAACGAATGTTGAACATCAAGGTCTGGAATTCGAAGGGATGAGGAGGATCCAGGTGGGGAGTTTCAAGTAAAAACAACATTGTCGTCAAGTCATCCCAGGGCGCTAAAGTAGTGGTGACAAGCAGGATGATCAGTCCGACCGATTGAAATAAGAGGTACACATGAATACATAGATAAACATTTTATTCTCAACAATGCAGGCACGCTAGAATAGGTGTGATACGAACAGTAGGAATCGGTAAAAGTAAAAAATGTTGCAAGTATAATGGAGATATTTGTGACTGTAGGCAGATAAATACTTATGTAGTGGATATGATTAAGATGACATTATCACGATCTAATCCTAATTTTAGGTGTTGAGAATCCAAGACATTGGATCGGCACCAATGATGAGGCATACCAAAAGGGCAGTCACCCTGGTACAAGAGAAAACACTACCGCAAACGAAAGAGAAAAGCCGGATACGGAAACGACAGGTGCCGATGGAGTCTGACGCACCGATGTCAAGCGCATGCGGTCGAGTGTCTCAAGCCAATCTAGCGTGGCCATGCTAGGCCGATAAAAATGGCGAAGAGTCAGCTGAATAGGTGGGTATCATCGGCGCAGCGTTTGGTAGGTGGGCTGCTTCCGACTTCATTTACTAACCTGCGCCAATAATGCGGTCGATGTGGCACGTGTGCGTTGATTTTCTTACATTTCAAGTGTTAGATGATTGATATACTCAGTGTGGCTACGCTTAATATGAGTGCTGACAAGGTGCCTGTCATAAAATCGCCGCATCGATGATACTGCCTCGAGGAGACAGTTGGTCGTTGCTTTGGGCGATGAAGTCCACTGTGCCGTGACCGTGCTAGGCTCAAGACATGATCCCATACATCGTGTGGAGTGAGCTACGGCCAAACTACCATTTTATGTGCGCTTGGTATACATGATTTCCTAATGTTGCTGTGCATGTTGAAGGAGTGAGTGTTGACTCTGTTGATGAAACGTGGCTCCCATCCAAATTCCTACCGGTCTTATTCCTTCGTATTCACACCGCATATGGGGTGTGTGAATGGAGCTGTGAGTAGTGCAGCGCAAGCTACCCATGGTTTCTCTGTAGGCTCAGGTGTTCTGTGGCTGTTTTATGGAAGCAACAGTGACAGGCAAATCCGTAAACGGATGCCGTCAACCATGTACGCAACGATGGCGGGAGAGTTCATGGCTCGATGAAGCTTGCGTTGGCGAGATCTTGACAGATCGTCCATCAGCTGTTGCTTATGTAGTGCCGTGGAGTCATATCCTGGACGCCTCCTAGGGAATACCGCTGCGTGAGAGTTGCGTTACATCCTACTTCTAGTTCATAGTCGAGACTCACAATTCCGCGTGCGTCGGTACAGTGACTCATGGCGC